TGTTATATAGATATATCTTATCTTACGATTCATCATACAAATATGTATATATCGTGCTATAATGATCTAAATGAACTAAAATTCCAAATAAAATGCAATATTACTGACAACTTAAACTTATAAGTTTCAGTTCTTCTTAATTCTTTACAAATTAGTATAAAACTTACATCTATATATAAAAGAAAGTTGTATTAGTTACACTATTTATAACTCAAGAACGGCTGTAGGGATATGCATAGTTTAGAACCATGAAAAGGACTTTCACTTTTCATCCGATCGAAAAAGAAACAAAAAATATCTTGATCAAAGTCAAAATCTTCTTATCTACTGTCTTTAAAGAAGAAATAGCAAGACCGTCAGCTATTCATTTCTTATTCTGAAACTAAAGCCGACGAAGTCGCGGGCAAAAACTAACGTATACGTAAAAAGAAATGTAAAATGTACGCGTTAATTTTAAAGAGAAATTCGGGGAACATATATTATTCTTCTTCTTTCTAGCACTTTCCCAGCTTTAGCCAGGGTCTGCCTTACATGTTGTGAATAGTTTTGGCTAATGGTCATTACGACCGACCGCCTGCCTGACATCAACCCCCTTTGGGAATGCATTAATCAGTAATCTCTAAATACTCTTAGAAAGTACATATGACTTGTAAAAATCACATTGGTACTTGCCAGGATCGAACCCGTGTCCTCATGCATGAAAAGCGGGCTTTTTAACCACTAGGCCACTACTGACTAAATGGCTTCGTGGTACATTTATTATTATTGTGAATATTATTACTGCAAAAGCTCAAACTCAATATTAAAATATTAGTGTTAATCTTAGTTAGTATATATTAAAAATAAGACCATTTTTTCAACATATCCCAGACGTATTTAGTAATTATATGCTAGATTTTTTGCTATCAGCTGATCGATGTTGGTTTAAGTAATAAAAGAATGAGAATACTTAATTATTTACTTCAATTAATGCAACTTATCTGATAATTTTGGACATTTACGATTAAGGATTGATAAATCGTGTGTGTGAGCTTTCACAGTAACATATTAAATTACATTTGACGTTTATATATAAAAACTAAGAAAATGTTGAATATACAGGATGACTGGTGAATTACTATCAATATTTAAGGAGAATACTCGGTACATGATTCTCATTCGAATTATGTAAAAAAAATAGGTACTTAATTTTTGACAAAATTTCCGTATAAATAAATAAAGTGTGTACACGTTCCAAGTGTGGACGCGTGTGGCGGCGTGCTGATACAACAAGACGCCGCCGCGTCTGTGTGTTTGTGTGTGTATACCTAATCTGTAGGGTGTTCACACGATGCGTAATTAATTACATAACTTTTGGTTAACTTTACTTAGAAGTTTATTAATATTTATGTTATATTAATTTTTATTTTGTCATATATGATCGTCAAATATCACGTCCTCAAATATCGATAGTAATTCACCAGTCACCCTGTATAGTTGTTTAATTATTTTTTCTATTATATTATAACGAGAGCTTTTCGTAGCTATATGAGAAGTTGATTGTAGATGTTTTTATTAAGGCTTTGGAATTATTGTGTTCAAGTTCGAAGAGGCTACACACACACACACACAGGCATACATATATGTATATAATCGTATATATATATCGCACGCTTTTGTTTGTGTGTATGTGTGTGTGTGGTTGGATATAAAATTGAATATTCACAATAAGCGTTTATAAATTATTTAATATTATATACAAAGAACTTTTATTATTATTTCATATAAGTCTTAATAATATATACATTATTTTAATGTTTTCAAAATCTATAATTTATTTGTATAGGATTAACATAGACAAAATAATATTTGATTAGAAGACCATAAGAATAATAGCACAAGACCAGAATAATACGAAGATCTAGAAGAAGAAGAATTGTAATCTTCTGCGTAAAGAGGAATTATATAGAACTAAATCTTGTTCCTAAGTACTAGTGCCGCAGGAGTGCTTTCCTTATCTCCTGCTGCTTAAGTGCTTATCAATAGATTTAGTCCATCTACGTTTGGATTTGAAGATACTCGACTGGATATGATTTGGTTTGGTTTGATGTGATTTGAAATAATATCAATTAGCTTTATATACTTTAGTTTAGATATTTTTTAATTATTATTTATTTTTATAGTGTATATAAAAAAGTAGACTAAGTTTTATCTCGTTGTATCATCTACCGACAGAAGAAGTTTTATCAAAATAGGTCTTTTGGTTTGTCTATTGTTTTGTTTTTTATTCTTTTGAATTTGAATGTATGTATTTGTACACTATTTTTTTTTACATACTAGTTGTGTTTATTTACTTATTAGGTATTTTTATTGAATATTATGTTTAGTGTGTTTTATAATCATCATCAGTCTATCAGAGCCCACTGCTGTAAGACCTCTTCTCACATGGAGAAGGTTTGAGCATTACTCACCACGCTTGCTCAAGACGGGCTGGTGATTTCAAACTTATAATTGTGAGATTATAAGTCCAGGTTTCCTCACGATGGTTTCCTTCACCGTTTTATAGTATTAAAGCATAGTGAGATCTAAGACTTTTATGAGTTTTCATTTAAATGAAACTAATATTTTCGTATTACTACGTATTGACAAGACTAATTGACATCTCGTCTGCCCGTGATCACGGTTGATGTAAAGTAACCGAAACGTCGGGAGTATGTAGTTAAAAATAATGAAAAATGAGTAGTAATATGAAAATATTAGTTTCATTTGTATTAAACAATGTTCTATGTTCTATTGTGAGTTAAACAAGGCTTTGTTAATTGTTTAATCCAAGTTTCCATCACACTACATACGTATCGTGAACAGTATGTCATTCATAAATCTTCACTCATTATATTATTAACGTGGGTTATTAAGAGAGAGACGGGAGACGCGGAGTGTGGAGTGTGATGATGGAAACTTGTGGTTAATATTTTCTATACAACAAATATAGACAGACTATTTGAAACGGACACGTAAAATTTTGTGTAATTTTATTTAAAATCATAGGATCTATTCTTAACATTAATAAATTTCTATGAAAAACCATTTTAAATTAATATTTTATGTGTAAAACTCGTAACATATAGGTACACGTTTGAAACTAACTAATTGATGTACCAATTTTTTTCATACATACTGTGAATGCTTCATAATTCATATAATATTTAAAAAATATATTACTTTACTCATATAGCATCAGAATATTGAATGAAATACTGTTGACGATACGTATGTAGTGTCTATTCAGACTCATGGTAACAATCTAGTATAATTAAAACCTATCGAAAATTTATATTAAAAATATTAAACAATATATATTAAGTATAATGTATTTTTGTATTATTATTATATGCGTAATTATATTATAATAATTTAGTAAAAATAGAAGGAGGTAATTTTTCTTGTAGTTTATTATTCCGAGTCTAATTCTATACATTATAGGTTTATATATTTATATATAATATGTATATATGATTTACTTAAAACTGTAAAAATAACATTTTACTTATCTTATTATTTTTATATACGCATGGATTCTGCATTTTATGTTTAGAGATAGTAAATTATGAAAAGCTCTAAATGCATAATGTGCGAGAACTTAATATTATGTTAACAAACAGATATACAAATTAGTATAATATTTATATATAAAAACATATTAAATTCCTTTTTGTTTCATAAATAAAATATTCTTTTTTTACATAAGTTATAATAATTTTGACTTTTACATTAAATTCTCTTTGTAAGACTGAATGACAGTTTAAAATCTTATTACTAAATTTTGACACATGATTCGTTTTACTACTTAATAGAAAAATGAAAAATGTGCTTATTTAATTTCACTATTTTACTTACAGTCTTATTTGGGAAATTAAGAGCGTTACGGATTTTTTCCTAGTCTTAATATAGGAAACTTGTTTATATAAATTAAGATGAATATGAAAAATAAATTTGTTTTGCGATCTATACAATAGTTATGAAGCTAAGTTTGAAATGGGAATTCTAAATAACATAATATTTCATTGGTGTTGTTTTTTTTAAATTTAATGTTTCATTGCAAAAGCTTTATGGATACATTCGAAAAAGGAGGTTATATATCACAATGAAAATCTTACGTAATAATTCAAGGTGTGGATTTCATTGGATTATTTGGAATAGACTAAAAATAGGAGAAAAAGTATATATTTATAGGCCATGTACACTCATGCTTCAAAATCAATCATATTCGTCAATAAATATACAATTACATAAGAAAACGATGCATAAATCTTTTAATGCTTGCAATCAAATACAAATGAAAAAATTGCTAGAAATCTATTCCTAACGAAGTATATCCGTCCATAGACAAATTTAGAACGTGCGGGTAGATAACCATTATAGTATGATCTATCATTTATTATCTAATACGAATTATTTATTCGAGGCGTGAGGGTCAGGTGACGCTGGTCGCCCGTATCACTTAATAAAATTCCCCTCTGTATTAAATTAATGCATGAAAGGGAGTCCTCAAACGGTTCTTCCTGTTCGAACGGAAGACGACGATTGGCTCAATTGAGCGACCCATTCACCAATCAGCGGCGAGTTATACTGATAGCTGTTCGTATTCCTAATTTAAATCCTTTCGAATGCTATGGACATTTAAATTATATGTTCAATAAAAACTTTTTGTTATTATTTTTTGTATTTTGTGCCATTTACTTTTTCTTTTTTTTAAATTATATCTTCAATAAAAACTTTTTGTTGTTTTTTTTTATTTTGTGCCATTAATTTTTTTTTTATTCTTAGATTTAAAATTGGACATAACATTTTCTATGGTTGCGTATATCAATAAAATAGCATTCCATTTTTAAAAATCAACAATTTATTCATAACAGGTATATATTAAGTAAATGTTGACGCGTATTGCATCTTAAATACAATATATAAAATTGATTTTTTACATAATATTACTGTATATATTGTTCTGTGTTTTAGTTTGTTTACAGCTGTTCTACCCTGGTTTCCAATACTCCTATATTCTCTATTTCGCTGTGTATGACGTCACCGGGCTTCAAGTATTCTGGTGGTGACCTGTACATCCCTACACCCCCTGGCGTGCCAGTCAGAAGAATGTCGCCAGGAAGGAGAGTCATTACCCTGGACAAAAAAAATTTTTTAATATGGTTACAGATTTTATATATGGCAACATTTTAATATGTCATTCCAAGAAGGTTGCATATCTTACGAGTATATGGGTTGTAATCATTTAAACTGTTTTTAAAGAGTATCTATTTATTTTTAAGATATGTTAATAATATTTTAGATATAATTCTTTTAAAAACTTTAAAGTCTAATGTATGAATATTATATATTTTTTAATATTTTTATATAATATGAAGAGAGCAATGGTTATTGAGTCTTGTAATAAATTTATAATTCTCGACTTTTATCGTTTTAAATCTTAGTAAACCTAAGATCTAAGACAAGAAAAGATAGAAACATGAAGTAAAAGACATATATAACAATATTTGACAGTTAAATTTCATTAATTAATTTTCTATTCAATTCAAATATAGTTTAATTTCAGTTAAAAATAAGAAAGATAATGATAGATGTTATTATTATAAGAAGAAAATATATCATTTTTCTATTAAAACTCAATCAATCGTAATGTAATTTTTTATTGTAGATAACAAAAAAGATATATATATATAGATAAAGATAGATATAATATATATATAGTTTCCTTTACTCACGAGCTCAATCTTTCTATAACATCAGGTATTTTGTGCACCAATTGGTTCGTATTGCTCTTCTGTTTCTCAACACCATTCACGCTGCATTTGATGAACAGGTTCTGAGGATCCTGGATGTCATCGGTAGTCGTGATGCAGGGACCGATTGGGCAGAAGGTGTCCATGGACTGGAATGGCATTTATGTGGCATTTTAACGTGGCATTGTTTATGGCCATGACTACTCAATATTAATATTATAAATGCGAAAGTAACTCTGTCTGTTTGTTACGCTTTCACGCCTAAACCACTGAACTGATTTTAATGAAATTTGGTGCAGAGATGGAGTTGACCTTGATAAAGAACATAGGATAGTTTTTATGCCAGACTTTTGAAAGGTTCTCTTGGAAACGCGATATAACCGAACTCCACGCGGGTGACGTGCGGGCGGAAAGCTTGTAGTGTAATATGTTTGATTGTGTTTAAGATATTTTTCCCATTAATGAAGGTAATGGTATTAATGACTTGGTATTTGGCTTTGTAATGTTTAATTCATACATATATTGGTGGTCAAAATATATATGTATGTATTTTTATATATATGTATAAAGAAGTTTTTTATGTGCTTGTAATATTTTACTTTTGTGAACCTATTTACGATTTTTATAAAATTAATTAACAATATATACATTTAATTACAAACAACACAATAATTTTAAAGAATTGTGTTACATAATTTATAAAATACATATTTAAAACAGCTGACATGCTTATATTACTAGAATAATATTAATTATTAATAACTAAAAAGTATCGCAATTTAACTGGTTATCAAATAAAGAAAACATATTAAAATCAGTAAATTAATTTTCGAGATACGATAATACAAACAGACACACAGATCGACGTCTTTATGAACTTCTCCATATATGTATACTCTGTACTAAATTCCAGTCATCAGTTAGAGATTTACATATGTATGGATAAGAAATTTTTGTGTAAATATAATAATAGGAGAAATGATTTTAAATAACAATGTATATAGCTAAGATGATTTCCTCACAAGGTATTGTGATAATGTATCTTTTATATGTATTATATACCTTTGATAAGATAACCATATGATCCAGAGCGTCTCAAAAATTATATCCTTAGTACTAGTCAACTTAATACAGCCAGTTTACACGTATAAGGCCTCGGCCTCGAATTTTGCGGGCAGCGGAGCGGCGGCGGCGGCGGCACGGAAACGCATACTATTCTCCAAACTAGCGGGCAGCGGGCACCGCTGTATTCGAGGGTCGGTCCATTTGATTATACGCGTAAGATCCTGCCGCTCCCGCTGCCGCTCCGCTGCCCGCAAAATTCGAGGCAGAGGCCTAAGTAACGTGCTATCGATGTTTAGGTTAAATTAAAAATTCAAAGTTAAAGTATTAATTAACGGTCACTGGTACTACAATCTTCTACACTACAATAAAACCAAATTTTAATGAGAAGGATGGGCACTTTATTTTCCAAAATCATGTCAAAACGTGTTGCTATTTTTGAAATATTATTTATCAAATCAACTTGTAATTGTAGTTTATTTCTCCTTTTTGATGTGCACCATTACTGAGAATGTCTTTAACTTTAATATGTTTTAGTAGATATTTTAATATAATAATTTCTTTCCCTGTAGTAATAAGGGGTCGTCAAAATGTTTCAACCCGTAAAGGGGTCGCGATATCAAAATTATTGAAAAACACTGAATATGCTATCAAACTCAAACTTAAAGATTTATTTAAATTAAGCACACGCAATTGTTGGCAATTGATAGAATTAACTTAGTGTTACAAGTGGCGCCATCTGTGCCGTACTAATGATAACATACTATAATCCTTAGAATTATTTTTATGACTGATTATAATTAATTATAATATTGAACCACTGTAATTTTGTAATAGCAATATTTATGTACCTACTTGTATTTGAAAAGTATAAATACTGGCTTCAGCCATTTTGTAGAACTTACTAGAAGTGACGCTGGACATTAAGAATCAAGAGGAAACTAACTCGAACGTCAGATCATTGTATGAGATACGAGAAACGCCTAGTATGTAGTCTTTTTCTTCTTCTACCTGGCAATATCCCAGCTTTAGCCAGGGTCTGCCTTACATGTTATGAATAGTTTTGGCTAATTGTTTTTATGACCGGCTGCCTGTCTGACATCAACCCTCTTTGGGAATGCATTAATCAGTGATGTTCAAATACTCTTAGAAAGTACATATGACTCGGAAAAATCCAATTGATACTTGCATTAAACGCGTAGTATGTAGTGTGATGCAAACTTGTACTAAGGTTACAGATATTGAAAAAAGTATTAAATATTAAAAGGGAATGATTTCAATGTCGATTCTTTATTGGCATTTTAATAACTAATCATTTCATAATTATGAAGTATATTTCGAATATTTTTAACAATAATAGCAATTTTGTATAACAGAATAAAAACAATGATGCGATAAATGAATAACAGTATACAAAGATACATGTTATCGCTAAAAAGCGATGTTTGAAAGACATACGAAAAATAACATGAAAAATTTAAAATTATATTAAGAGGAAGTTTTAGAGTTGAAAATAAGCACGACTGCAATGGTTGCTGGTAAAAAAATAACTTTCTTTGCAAGGAAATTAATGAAGGAAGTCTTTTTTATTATTCTTAATATTTCTTAACATGTAAACTCTGAGATAGGGGCTGATGAAATAAGGCTTAGGTTTTCAAGTTTGTCAGTTTTGTAACCGTCAAGTTCTTAAGATGGTAATTTGCAACAATCTTGCACAAAACTTTTGAACTACGAACGAGAAAATTAAAAATTTATCCAATTTTCTATTTAATTTCAAAAGACTTACACCTGGTATTATTTGTTTAGGTCCATATGAATTCATATAAAATTTTGTGCTACGTTGTATATTTAGCAAAACGTCAGCATAAGTAGAAAGAAGAGATTTCTAATGGTATTGATGAAAATTAAGATGGAAAGTGTCAATACACCTTAGTTGGTATTAGGAGTTGGTAGAGTCTAGCTGTGGTCAAGTTACTACAGCTCGAACATGGGTTGGCTCGACCGGGGAAGTACTACCCTCTCACAGAAGATCAAAGGTATTAAAAATTATCATAACCATACTTTTTTATTGATACTCACTTGTACTTTTACTTATAGAATCGTTATTGGTACATAAAGAAGTTATAATTTAATTATTTTTAAGGTTTTCGTATTCGTAATATAACATAAGGCAAATATCACATCACAGACATGTGGTGAAAGATAACTTCAAATTGTCTTAAAATAAATGTAGATAAGATTAAAATGAAATTCGGAAAAAGAAAGACTTGTTAAAATTAAGAAACAACATACCTACACCTATGGACTTATATTCTCAAACTATATTCTTACCAGAGACGAAACTTCTCATCATTAAATGTATTCACGGTGCGTGTGTCGGGTCCATCGTTGTATTGAGAGGAGCTTCAACAGTGACTGGGACTTGTGACCCAGGTGTAGGTTTAAGGGGCCCCATCTAACGCGTTAAACGCTCACCTCCACCGTCCAAGCTCCTCTCTCTACCTAATCAAATTTGAACCTACTAGGTCTGCTTTCGAAGTACTTTCCAAGAATGAACTGCTGTTATTTAGAATCGTTACACATACGAAACTTCTCGTTTCTACATTAATACTATATAGTGAGAGTAAACGTATTACGTAGTGTCATATTGTAAACTTGTAGTAAGCTTACTCATGATAATATTGCATATAATTTTAGATATTCTAGTACTTTTTTGAAGCTGTTAAATAAAATCATGTAGAAATAAATAATTATTTAGAAAAATGCTTAAGAAAATAATAAATATTTTGCTAGATGTGAAATGCTTTTTATTACCGTTATTCCTTATTTTTAATAATTTTAGTTGCTTTTTAATAAATTTGTATATCTTGTAACGCCCATCAATTAATCAAGAGATCAATATTAAAAATTCTTCCTCTTACTACTACAAGTTAATAGCGTGATTTCATTATATATATATACGATTACATAAGAATTAATATTGTAAGCAAAGAGAAACAAAATCTATTTCTGTTAATTCTCGACGCAAAAAGATAATTAAAAATTTAGAATTGTTGTAAGTTTAAAGTTGATACGTGTGTCTGTTTGTTTCATCCTAACTCTCAAACGAAGCGACCGATATCGATGCAGTTTTGGTAATTTGAAAGACAGTTTTCTTGCAAAGTTTCATCGATATGTTCTTGATTAAGTGTTAGTATAATCTTTAAATGATTGTAACTGTTAAGGCTTAGTGTTTTATATCAATAAAACTTCCAGGTACCTGTAAGGGGCCATACATAAAGTAACGTCACACGAATTTTAGTACTTTTAACCCCTCCCCCCTCTTTGTCACATTTTTATACCCCCCCCCCCCCAATTTGACGTCATACATTTTTAAAATTTATGTATGTATTTAAAATTTCACTATGTGACTTCACAAAACTATTGACCCTCCAACTTCTCATTATCACACGAAGTCATACTTCGCTAATACATTTCTTCCCATTAACCTGTGACGTACTTTATGAATGGCCCCTTATATAGTATTTTAATGTGTGACGTCACAAAACTATCCCCCCCACTCCTTGTCACACTCCCCTGATGCCCTATTAACGTGTGACGTACTTTATACATGGTCCTTAAGTACTAACTTACCTTTCCCAGAAGGAATTGCCCACCATTCCTCTCCTTTTGCCAGTCCCTAGCACTTATATCTTGAGCCACTGTGTATCCAAGAACATATTTGTACGCATCCTTAGCTTTGACTCTGCTCGCCGGTTTGCCGATCACCACAGTTAATTCAACTTCCCAATCCACTTTCTGTTAATAAATAATACATTAATTGATACATTCAGAAATCTTTCAAACGTCATTTGTCAGAATGTCAGAATGACAGTTATAAATTAGACATTAAAACCTACAATTTTAAATCGTAATTATTTTTGTAAATCACGATGTGCAGTGAAGATATTACGATGTGTGAGTTTCAAAGGAAGCGGCTAAATATATTTGGAAAATGAAAAAATATGAAGAGTATTCACAGAATAAAACTATGTATTTTTAATAAAATTAGATATTATACAGATTATAAATATTATAAATATTAAGATACGAAAGAGCTATAACATAAAAATTGTATATCTTTCGAGTTATATATCTTATTGGTGGCATATTATAAATATTTCGGGTTTCATTCCCGCGTTAGAACATTGCTATAAGCGTCCATTATCACGGGAATTATTTCATTTATTATCCGCCCACTCGTAGTATGAATAACGAACACAATTTGCTTCAATAATTGACCCTAATTGTACAGAGGTCGAGACAGGACTGTGAATCACTGTACAACTTTTCTAGCCACACCTCCGATCCGATTTAAGTTTTCAGCTCTTAAAGTAAATATTAAATGTATACATATATATGAAATATATTATATACATAGAATAAAATTCAAACAGAAACTAATATTTTCGGATTACTATGTATGTGTTATTTTTGAATTTGAATGTCACATCTCGTCTTTATGATCACGGTTGCTGCAAAGTAGCCGAAACGTCGGGAGTACCAATGTTGTTTTTAAAATAATAAAATGACGCGTAGTGATCCGAAAAAATTAGTTTCATTTAAATGAATACTAGCCAAAGTCTAAGATCTTAGAAATAATGTAGTGAAAAATTCATCTACGCGAGTTAGATTTGAACCTATCTCCTGCGAAATAATACGTTTCAGTCACTACACCAATTGCACTATCGTGACCTTAGTAAAGTATATAAAATATTCATACAATCGTCACATCGATATGTATGTATGAAAAAATATTTAAAACTAAATATATGAAATAAGGTTAATTTTAGAATCAGAAATAGTTACATAGCTAACTAGCTATCACGCCTTAGAGGCGTTAATAAAGCTATTATTGGATTTTGTTAACTGTTTTAGATTTTTCAATCGAACGGGATGAAAAGTATCAATTATCCGTATTCTAGTTCTATGCCAGCTTTCAGACATATCTGTGTAAGTATTCTTGTGTTATAGTGTCACTAAGAAAACTGAAATATAATTAATAAAAGTAGATATATTATTATTATCAATATACTATGTTTTTTTAAATACATATATGTATTTCATAACTGTAGGTCATAAAAAAACCTAAAAACGGTTTTTAATAAAACAGAAATGTAATATAAGTATATTAGTTTATGCTCACAACTTAATCAAGTGGATTTCATTGTTTTGTTTCAAAAAATATTTATAAATTGTATTAAACCACTACATATTGCCATCAATGGGCAGCAAAATCTATAGTATATATAGTGACTTGATGAGAATTATATGGGATTTGATGTTATTTTAGGATTATTGTGATATCCCGACAACATTTCAACATCCATACTCCATCCATCCATAATATTACTATAATATAACAGTTTTTTTCATTGATTGATATATTGATTCATAACATTTATAATAAATTTTATATAGTAATAAGGAATTTCTATAGCAATTACTATAAAACTATATTTGGTATGTTACACATGAGATTGTAACTTGGAATCAATCATAATAGATGCCAAATGAGGTTTATATATACATTCTTTTTATAAGCTGAATCATTTAAACATTGGCTAGATAAGTTTTTTTAAGTATATTAATAGATAGTGTGTATATATTAAGTTTATAAGTATTCTTAGAATCATGAGAATATCATTATATATATAGTTATGTTTCATAATAAAATTAATATATTTCCCAAACATAAAAAAATATATATAAATTTCATGATTGCAACACTGTAATGTAGCTTTATATGATAGCAACACTGGATTTTTGATTTAAAAGTTTCTAACAAATGTATGCAATTAGATTATAAATTTACTAATATCTATATTAATCTAATATTTACTCACATTAGTGACATCTGTCCGTAGTTTCACAGCATCCTTGGGTCCAACCACTGTGCTTGCGAACTTGCTGAAGATAAGTGGAACCGGAGGTGGTGTTAAATTCTGCTCTTCACAATGATCCTTATAATTTAATCCGATGCAGAGCACTTTATCCTGGCCATGTATCGGCGCTGCTAATTTAACTGAACTAAGATCTATTGATGGCGGTTTCATAAGTGGTAGTCTGAAAATAGATGATTATTATAAGTATTTCAATTCATTGTAAAGGATATTTTTTCAAACATTTATCATTTATTTACAGTGTTTAGAATTTGATAAATATTTTTAACTGAGTGCAAGATAAAAGCTTTAAAGGAAAAATGTTAAACTTCAGTATATAAAGAGGTAAACCATTTTATGGTTAGTTTTTTTTATGTAGTCTTTATATGAATGAAAATTATATTATATGAATGATTATTACTTCTTAACTTTCTCCAAGTCGCCGTTTTTTAGTATCTCTAAGAGAGTACTGGGTATGCTGCAATCCGTTTTGTTTATGTCCACAACTTTGTCGCCTTCAAGATAACCGGCGCGGATTTCTTCTGGATTTTCATTATAAACAAACTGTACTAGCTTCATATTTAAACGCGGTGTGTAAGAAAAACGTCGTACACCGTTGATTAACTTAGAATTATTGACTGAATTTCTGATAAACAGAGTTTTTATAGACGTTATCGCGACACTCAAAACAACACTCATATTTGAAGTATTTAACGTCACGTAAACAATATAAATTATGTAACTGTTCTAAAATAGACCACAAAATGTATTTATAAATCGTTTTCCACGATTTTAATATGCGAAGTAGTAGCACTTTTTTCTATGTTCAGCTTATTATACGAGCTTTAATTAATAATTATTAATAAATTGCTAGCAAAGACTTAACAACACTAAGTAATAAATAAGAAAGAGATAGTTGTTTGATATGTTAACCGCGATTGGCTCCTGAACGTTGTTCATTGATATTATTTATATCATATACAATAAAATTCGTAAGTATTTTATAATAACTTTTTTTAATAAAGAAAATAATTAATCTAAACTTAATTTTAAGTATGAAATGTGTCATAAATAGCCTGTGAACATATAAATTGTCATACAAATATTTATTATTAATTCAGCAATCATTTGGGTATACAAGTTGCAAACTCAATCTTGTCATTTGTCAATCTAGATTGTCAATTGTCAAAGATGTCAGCTGATAACTGAAATGTAAACTTTAAACGTTCTAAAACGACTTTACCATGAATCATAATGGTTGTAAAAATGTTAATTATAGCAAAAATAGAATTTAAAAAATCTGTTGAAATTATATGCGTGACATAATGTTGATGATAAAATTCTATATTGTTAAATCTGGTGTTATCAGTTTATCGTCGTTTAAATGAGGTGTGGCCCGTACAAAAAAAATATGATATCTTCACATGACTAAAGAAAATTAGAAAGATGATTTGCGCTAAATAAACAGAAAAAGGAAGCATGTTATAGAATTCAAATATTTGTGTATATTATAAAAAGCCGCATAAAATATTAAAGACATATAAGTGTTTAGACACAAGCTATTTCGTATTACCTACAGGTGTGTTCTGATAATCAAGGCACAGCACCTTTTAATCACTACTATAGCTATTTCAATAAAATCTATAATTTTAAATTATATTGAGGAATTAAAACTCAACGAAAAATCTAAATATTTGCAAATACTTTTGGATATACAAAGTGGTCGGTGGAAATATCTTTACAATAGAAGCAAAACCCATGATGAACGATTCTTCCTTATTATTAACGTAGTTCATTTAAACAAATTAATTGCTATTTCTCCAATTAAAGATAGAAATCTATTGATAATAAGGATTATAAGTTGTGTTTCGGTTGTCTTCTCTTCACAGACACGCCAAATGACATAAAGACTGTCTATTAGTCACTGTAGCTTAAAGCTGCTATTGATAGGCAAAATTTTCAAAGTGATTACTGCCTACTGCGGTCGTGTATTATATAGCCGTTTTCCTTTTTTGGGGAAAGGCCGGGAAAAGACGTCAAAAAATACATTTGATGTTCGTTCATATGTATAAAAGTAAGGAAAACTTTAAAATAGACTATGGCAGACTTAGAAGACTATTAAGTTTGGTATTATAATAGTGTTACAATATTTAAATGATATAATATTAATGGTTGTAGCTTATTGACAAACTACCTAACTGTTTCCAAGAGTTTTACGTTTGAATGTCTGAGTACCGATGTATTAAAAGATACAATATATATGGACTTCAACTGTAAATATTATTTAAGTTAGTCTTAAGGTAGTAAAGACTAGTTGTGTTCTGGGACTACAGCTCGAACATAGGCTGACTCCAGCGACAATTACCACGCCCAGATCTTACAAATCTCACAGAAGATCCCCATGATCTCACAGAAGATCCCCATGATCTCACAGAAAATCCCCCTCTGTCAATTGTCATGTCTGCGTTTCGTCCGATGAGTGAAAGAGACGGTTGCCACTTTCCTATCCCCTCGTTTCCCATGATCAAGGTCAGCAACGAATAAGGGCAATTAATTTGTTGCAAAATGTTCGTGGGCGACAGTGACTACTTTCCATCAGGTAAGGTCCAGACGAGAACCGATTAGAAAAATTTAAACTAAGATAATAATTCATTTATAAAGAGGAAAAATTTATGCATATTTCCGCATGTCTAGCTTATTTTTTAAATAACGTGTATTCAAAACTACACACCATACATAATATACCTTATACATAATGCATAAAAACAGTTAAAGATGTTACAGATAAGAAATATAGACATAGCGATCGTTATCATCTTTTTGACAGACTGAATATATTAAAAAAAACACAAATCATTGTAAAGAAATACGTTAAGGTAAAGTTTTTAGGAGAAAATATTAAATTTAACAGTAGTTTGGGATGAAATTAATATTAATTGACTATTACTTTTTTGATTTTATACTCCTAAGAGTAACCTTTTATGACGAATAACCTTTTGTTTATCATTTTGTTAAAGAAGAAACAAAATATTCATCTATTTATTGAAAGATCAAGAAATTGAAAGAATCCAAACATAATATTTTTGTTTTATCCGGAATAATGTCTAGTAGTCATTTTATCTAGTGGCTATAGTTTTGTAAGGAAAAAACGAGGGAAATAGCAAAAAAATAAAAATAAAACTGTTGTATGGATCGTAATTACTGTAAAAAAAGAAAATTGTTTGTAAGTACGAGTATGTTAAAAATCTTCGTGCTTTAAACCAACACAACAAGTTTTTATTTCTATGTTACGGTTTCATTCATAATATAACTGGTATGTTTTGTCAATGTCAAGTTTTTGTTAATGAACGTATTATATTTCCGAGATTTCCGCGATGTAAAGTAGCCTATGTGTTATTCCTGGACGTCAGCTTCTTGTATAAAAAAATTTATCAAAATCGGTTCTGCCGTTTGAGCGTGAAGAAGTAACGAACATAAACACACGCTCACAAACTTTTGCAATTATAATATTAGTAGGATAAAATATGTACAAAAATCTATTTACTTTACTGTATTACAGTTTTTCAATTAGCACGGAAACGTAACAAATAATTTCTGAATGTATTTCAACAGCTAGTATTTTTACCGTTAAAATTTTTATTGTAAAATGTTTTTCTTGAGACCTTGTACTTGAAATGTTTTTCTTGAATTAATTATTATCATTAAAATAATGTATGAGGTTGTCCATAAAGGAAGGAAATTTCATTCAAAACCTCAAGAAACATTGGTCTTGCCTCCCAAATAAGATTTAAATGGTTGATAACATATCATCTCAGTTGGATAAGATATGCAATTTATTTTTCTCCTCAATTTTATTGATAAGACATCTTCTAATCAGTTGACAACATCTTATGAAGCATACTACACTAGTGTTTTACTCTTATTGTCATGCACAATTCAATTGCTTGGTATCAACATTAAGATTTTATATCGTACTATAAAAGATATCCCAACAATTTGTTTATCGAAGACCAGAAAAGATTGGTGTGTGTTTGCTGTTAGAAATATAAAGAATATAAATGTTTTTGAAACCTGAATCCGTTGAAACCCGATAGGCAGCAGAAAATCTTATGTTTGATACTCAGAAAATGTCCTTAAATCAATCTTTAGAATTAATGAGACTAGATCAATCAGCCGCATTTTAGGCGAATGGCATGAAATATTTATATTCTTTTTAGCGATGTAGAAAACTTCACGATTGAAGAAGACTACAATCCACAATAATGATAAAGTGTGGGCCTGCAAACGACGGCCTGCTCTAAACGACACGGTCATATTGACTCTCTTAATAAAAACCCTTAGAGCAATCACTTGTCAAATTACCTTTTGAAATAGTACGTATGTAAGTAAATTTGTGGCCAAATAGATTAAAATCATATGTTAAAGCCTAAGGTTAGCCGTAACGAAAATATTTTTTTGTCTCAGATCTTATTTTTAATATGTTAGTACTTATAATATTTAATGAAGTTATATTAGATTATTAAAAAAATACATTCTCGATTGTACCAGAACTTATGGCTGGATAAGGTACACATGATGTAAGTATCATGTTTGGCAAAGAACTGGAAAATATTTATAAATGTACTTAAAAATCTTTTCGTTGTCAAGCAAGCTTGTCCCAGAAGTCATTTGAAATGAAACTTTCGAATAAAATTCAAATCGCACTAAAATATGGCGTGCGGGTTGCGAGGGAAACATCTACTGTTTTTTTAAATTACCTATACTTAGATATTGATCCTAGCAATAGACTGTCTAAAAGAAAATATCTGGCGAAAAAGGTCAAGCAAGTCAGAGCGTACTTGGAGTGCAGTGATAGAAAATTTAATAACAAAAAGAGCTTGATTTAGATGATTGTGTTTTTATTTATCTTCCTCATTCTCAATTTTTGGTCTCATGACCAAATGAGTCTTCAGTAAATTGTATTGTTTTGTCTATGTTATGTTTTTAAGAGGATTTAGTGGTTGCGACTACCAACCAATGTATATTTGAAGATGTCTCTTGCTATCTACAATTTAAACTTATAACTGTTAATTATATTTTTATTTAAATATACGAAAAATTGTAACATAATACTTCAGAATAACCCGAAATCTTTAAGATTAAATTGAGGTCTTCTATATAATATGTATGAGTATTATTTCAATCTTATATTATAATTTGTGACCTAAGAAATTATCCGCTTTTTCAAATTTAACGAAAGGCGACGGTAACTATCTATTGTGAGAAGACGAGACTTATTTGAGAGGGGAAGAGAAACGGGATGAGAAGGTGTGGAGTTAGACAAGTAATTAATAATTTTTACACCTCGTATTTTTGGTTTATGGTATAGTTTTCATGTATGTCTTTAAAATAGAAAAAGGATTTAGGATCATTCAAAAATGTAGGTGCTAAATTCCAAATAATTACGCATAAACAAATAGTTGTTAAATGTCATCTACACTGCTAATGATCATACAAAAGTATGATTGTCTTCCAGGAGTAAAACCCAAATTCTAGTCGGGGAAGCCATTCTATCCATTCTAGAAAAACAAAACAAATGTTTTTTAAATTGGGTTTTATAAAAACAACGATTTATTACTACGTAACTTGTTTCTTTAGGTTTAATTTAAATAAAATTTACATTTAAAATGGTTCATAACACTACTTATAATTACTCATTTGCATTTTAATATATCGTAAAATGTATAAATATTATGATCTATTCTCTATAGTGACGTAGTGTCCTGTTATTGGTTTGAGTAAAACGTCGAGTTTGAACTTCAGCTTGGTGTGGTCTGCTTGCATTTTGAACCTTCGGAAGACGTAGTATAATGTGGATTTCATAGACATCATTGCGTATGTTTTACCTGGGGAGGTTAAAATTAAGAATATATTCATTACTATTACTATGAGTTCATATTAAACTAAAAGCAGACTGTTTAAAATTCTCAATAGATGTGTTATGGGATATTTTAGCAAAATTTTGAATAGAAAAGTAGAGTGTCAATACATAAATATAAGTTTTACTCTGTCTTTCCCTCAAAATAACGTAGTTGTTACTTATTTAAGAATTATAACATAATATAACATTTTCCTTTAAACTATTCAGTAGATTTTTCCGATTTGAGTAGACTCAATACTAGTGAAAATACATAAGATATAATAATATTTAAGAGGAAATATTTTCTGAATATTTAGTTGTAATTATGAAATATTATTCATAAACAAAATAATTGGAGGAGGCCTATGTCCTACAGTGGCTGAATAAATGAAAAATTATTTTATGTTGTAAAAGAATGACAACTAACAAAAAAAGGATGCTAAAATCCAGTTCGTATAAACAAATATTTGTTAGAAAAAACTCTCACCTATACAATTTCTCTTCCCGATACTAAATCCGCCGAACGCATTCGGATTCTTCGGTAGAGTGGCTGGATCTAACCATCGTTCGGGTTTGAATTCATTTACATCTGGACCCCAAATGGGATGACGATGAAGCCCATAGTATAGAATCAAGCAATTATTACCAGGTTTAAGGGTACAGTTTTCTAAAAGAAAATCAGTTACATCAATAAAGAATCAAAAAAAAAGTTATTATGTAAATATGTATCAAAATATATTTACTTAATTTGACCTCCCGATCGATATGCCTTCCAACGAATGGAGCCATTACGAAATAACGCATAGTTTCCTTCAAAACTGCTTCCATGTAAATTAGCTGTGAAAGATCCTGCTTCTCTATATCTCTGTCGCTGTCACCAAACACTCTTCGTATTCTGAAAAATATAATCAAAATAAACATGCTGTCTTTTTCATACACAGCATAATATTATTTTTTACTAAGGACGCAAACGATGAGGTAGTTCTTCGTCTATGGAAATACACAAAATAGTTCTGCGGATGAATTGCCACCCTTGATTGAGGAAGAAAGAGAGGGAAAGAGAAAGGGCGACCGTCTATCTCACTCATCAGACGAAACGCAGCCATTAAAGACTACTTCACGCTAATCTTCTATGAAAGGATGGTACTTCCTCGGTAGCCCTTGTTTGAGCTGCAATAACTTGACCACAGCTAGGCTTTGCTTAAATATAATAATACTCACTCCTCATAAAGCTTTTCCTGTACTTCTGGATGGGATCCTAGTAATATGAGAGCGAAGACTATAACGTTAGCTGATGTCTCGTGGCCCGCCATAATGATTGTGTTCATTTCATCTCTAATCTCCTGATCAGTTAGCACACCACCGTCCAAATCCATAAGTAGATCCATAAATACCTTCAATTTTGGACCTTTAAACAATAAAAGGCAAATATAACAAATGGGTGTCTAAATATATTGCATCAATGCTTATATACATATAAAGTAAAGTTACACTTACTGTTTTCCGTATTACTTTCCGTTTCATTAAGTTTTCTAAGAGCTCTTTTGTTTTTGAGTACCTTAAAGAGATGTAGTTTATTAAAAAAGTATAAAGCACTACTGTTAAAGCAAATTAACGAGGAAAGTTAAGTGTTAGAAGTTTTTAGGAAATCAAGAAAGTTTTTGTGATTGAAATGAAAATTATTAGATTGTTGTGGTTTTAGTTACAAAGCATAAATAATAATAGGGAGAATTTTAATCGAAGCAACTAAGTATATTATTAATAGTCTTGTATTGACAGGACTAACTAGTAAACGAGTTCAAGAATACGATTGTGTTATTTAAATAAAATGTAATTACAATAAATTGACTTACTTTATCGGACATTTCATGAAGAACTTTTATGCTTGCGTCGAGTTTCTTCTTCAAGTTACTGAATTTGAAAAATATATCAGGATGAAGCCAGAACGTCTGGAATCTCAGAATATTACCGTTTAGGTAATTTTCGAAAGCCTCTACATATGCATTCGCCTCTTCTGGTGTAACGCAGTCGTCTAACGCCGTTACTGTAAAAAAATATACCTACATTAAAGCGCGTAGTGATGATAGAGCTCACGATTCTTTGGGAAACCAACATCCCCAAAGGCCATGCCATCAAGGTCAATAAATATTACAAGCTCACTAACGAACTAACTCGAAATAGGTTCGTCGTGGATTTTTTAGGCGATAGAAGTGGGAGCGAGAGGTATAACACCTAAATCTCTCTACAAACTACTAAAAAACTTGGGCTTGTCCAAAACTAATATCAATTCATTCTAGGAGCCTATTTAGAAGGCAGCCTTTTCAAATTCGGTTAGATAGAGGGAAGAGCTTGGACAGTGGAGGTGAGCGTATAACGCGTTAGATAGGGACCCCTTAAACCTACACCTGGGTCACAAGTCCTAGTCACTGTTGAAGCTCCTCTCACTACAACGATGGACCCGACATACGCATATGAATACATGGAATGATGAGAGGTTTCGTTCTTGAATCCATAATCTTTATGGTGCTTATTCGCGAAGGTTTTGACGGGATACCTGATCAGTGTACTCTTCAAGCATTAAATTTAATTATAAAGTTCATAAACCTTAGTCAGATAAAATTTTTAAAAGCCAAAATACCTACTGATAAAAATTAAAAAACAAAAACAATAATTAAAGAACGGATACTTGTAAATTATAAATGATATTAAGTCTTTATATTTTTTTGTTTTTAAAATCATATAAAAAAATATTTTAAATTATTGTTTATCTTCATAAGCGTAATAATATTTCCGTTTTAATAACAATAACAAAAAATTTATGGGCTGAATCAAAGAAAATATGAGTGTAAAAGTAATTAAAATTTTATATAGATATTTTCTTTATTTTAAAGTGTTTTTCGTTAAAATACAGAAATATTTATCACTCATTTATCATTTGTGATTCAAAATTGTATTGATTATCTTCGTCAAATATTTGTTCATTAGATTTTAGTAATCTTAGTTTTATACATAACTTGCTTTTGCCCGCGACTTCGTTCACGTTAATTTCGGCATTAGTAAATATATACAGGGTGACTGGTGAATTACTATCAATATTTAAGGAGCATACTCGGTACATGATTCTCATTCGAATTATATAAAAAAAATAGGTACTTAATTTTTGACCAAATTTCCGTATAAATAAATAAAGTGTGAACACGTTCCAAGTGTGTACGCGTGCGGCGGCGTGCTGATACAACACTACGCCGCCGCCGCGTCTGTGTGAGTGTGTGTGTATACCTAATCTGTAGGGTGTTCATACGATGCGTAATTAATTACATAACTTTTGGTTAACTTTACTTAGAAGTTTATTAATATTTATGTTATATAAATTTTTATTGTGTCATATATGATCGTCATATATCACGTCCTCAAATATCGATAGTAATTCACCAGTCACCCTGTATAGCTGACTGGGCGAACTCTATTCCGCGCTAGATGCCATAAATATGCAGAAATTGTAATTTATTAACTTTTTTTTTTCTATCGAACAGAATTAAATATCCTATGTCCGTTTCCTTGTTCTAAGCTATCTCTCTACCAATTTTCAACCACATCCGTACAGCCGTTCTTGAGTTATAAATAGTGTAACTAACACGACTTTCTTCTATATATATAGATTTAATTAACATATTATTTACTTACGACAAATAGTTTCCATGAAATTCTGTTTCACATACTTTGATTGATCGAACCACCCTCTCCCGACTTCAACTTGCATTTTTTCAACAAGTTTTCGTCCTTGTTTATTGAAGATAACCAAAAATGAATCCAGTATCTGTTGATTGAATGCTGGACTTATAAGCTTGCGATGTCTTTTCCATATTGGTACTGGAAACAATATTATTTTTTATATTACTACTAGTTGACACGGTTAACGTTGTTTGATATATAAAAAAATAGTTTTTTGGTAATAAAATTGTAAAAATTTAGGGTTTATTTAGTTATGTATTTTTTAATGCTACATTATAAAAAAATAAAAACAAAAAAAAATAAAGGTGAACAACCCTTATGAAAAATAGATGTTGGCCGACTCTCAGACCTATTCAATATTATGCTCACAAAATTTCATGAGAATCGGTCAAGCCGTTTTGGAGGAGTACGATAACATTGTGACACGAGAATTTTATATACAGGGTGACTGGTGAATTACTATCAATATTTGAGGACGTGATATTTGACGATCATATATGACAAAATAAAAATTAATATAACATAAATATTAATAAACTTCTAAGTAAAGTTAACCAAAAGTTATGTAATTAATTACGCATCGTGTGAGCACCCTACCGATTAGGTATACACACACACTCACACAGACGCGGCGGCGGCGTAGTGTTGTATCAGCACGCCGCCGCACGCGTTCACACTTGGAACACTTGGAACGTGTACACACTTTATTTATTTATACGGAAATTTGGTCAAAAATTAAGTACCTATTTTTTTTACATAATTCGAATGAGAATCATGTACCGAGTATGCTCCTTAAATATTGATAGTAATTCACCAGTCACCCTGTATAAGTTTACTTAAAACAAATTGAGTTTAACGCTAGTTATATGAGCTAAAATTCACTTCAAAAATGTAGGTATTCGAGCACTTAACGTGGGTCAAGAAGTTAATTTTTTTTTCATTAATGTATTTGTCATTGTGTTAATTGAATATATAAGTAGGAATATATATAAAAACTATTTGTTGGACAATAAGCAAATGAAAATTATATAGTATATAACATAAACATAGCATTGACATTTGTTTTGCGTAACGTAAAAAATCTATTCAATTATTGTTATTCAATTATTCTAAATATTCAGAAATTATTATGATATAAAGGTATCAAAGTAATTATATGATATTTTAAGACTTATTTGTATGAAGACGTGCAAAGTTTATTTAGAGAATAATTGTAATATAACAGAAAACTTCAAATAATAAATATTACGTGATAGCAAAAGAAAATTTAAAAATATTGAATTGTAACTCACCTGGTGCATAAAGCAGTCCATTTCCCAATAATTGTTTCGTAAACTCATAACTGAATTCGTCTTTTTGGAAACACGTATTTGACAGCAAGAAAATGTCATCCGGATCGGTAAGAACTGATAAAAGTAACAAAAATATTAATATATAATTAAAAATATATATATTTAATTGTATAAATATAACAATTTTACACAATGAATATGATAAATCAGTTTTTATACCGTACCGTAGAATTTGAAGGGACCGGTCAGGAAATATGCAACATGTCCCAACTCCATACACTTGTGTGACGTATCTCTTATAAACTCCCAGAATCCTAATAAAGACAACAAAAAAATTAGATCTGAGATTATCGCCAGTCATTTAAATGAAAACTAATATTTTGCGGATATACTAAGCGACTTTATTTTTGATAAAAACTACATACTCCCGACGTTTCCGTTACTTTACAGCAACCGTGATCACGGCCAGACGAGGTGTAGTATATCCGCAAAATATTTGATTCATAAAAAAATTGTATTAGAAACAATCAAACGATTTTATCGAAACTAAGCTTCTCTGAAACTACGCGTTTTTTAATTATTTTGTTTCTCTATCATCGTCTGTCTGTGATTACGGTTGCTGTAAGGAACCGAAAGTTCAGGATTACGTAGATATAAAATAATAAACGCGTAGTATACGAAAAACTAAGTTTCATTTAAATATTCACACGAAATTAGACATAATTAACCAAAAGTTCTCATTTAAATATATTATTTAATATAAAAATTGTTATACCGCTAATCCTTTACGTAGATATAAATTTATTTTGGATTATATTTCAAAAATAAATGATGTTGCTTACTAGTTGTGTTTCCAACAAGCAAATGGCCATGTCCTATCAAGGGCAATGACCCTGGCAAAGCTGGTGGCTCATCAGAATGTCTTCGAGTCTTCCATTTCAGATATAAGAACAATATGATGATGAAGATCACTAGCGCCAACATTGTTACAGCCTTCTGATTGAGGAAAATATAATATTTATCGTAAAACATTATCTATATATATTTAGTATTAATAAAAACTATTAAATTGACACTTAAGTACAACATTTTGTTCTTATTAGATGCTTCATTTAATAATGTCATACTTATAAAAACAAATTGAATGTTTTAAACGTTAATTGAAAAATAATTTCTTGATGACTCTATGTTAAAGAATAAATAAATATTTTAATTTTATTCTACCCTCGAAATGTATTTAAAATTTCTAGAATATAAATATATGTAAAATACTTCTTATAAACATTAATTTTAAAATTAAATATTGTATTTAAAAAATCTACTCACTTTTTGATTATGATATTCTCAAGCTTGATTCAATTTCTTAAATTTATATCATATTTTTTAAAAATTATTATTTATAATTTTTGTTTTTATAAAAAACGTCCGAACTTTTCAAGTGTTGAGAATGTTTTAAATTATTTTAACGAAACATTAATATACATTTACGCAAGGACTTTGAGTTAAAATACGTAAAAATTGTAATTGTAATCGTATTTATAATACAACTAGCTTTCCGCCCGCAGCTTCGCCCGCTTGGAGTTCGGTTATATCGCGTTTCCAAGAGAACCTTTCATAAGTCTGGGATAAAACCTATCCTATGTTCTTTCTCAAGGTCAACTCTATATCTGTACCATATTTCATTGAAATCAGTTCAGTGGTTTAGGCGTGAAAGCGTAACAGACAGACACTCAGACAGAGTTACTTTCGCATTTATAATATTAGTAGGGATACTACCGACAGTTGTTTATAATATAAGTGTTAAACAACTACTCGTACAAGCATTTAGTTTGAAAACAGCCATCAGCCAACCATGTTAATGAATACAATTAAATTATAATTGTAAATTTAAATTAATTAAGAAATTCTTAAACGTTATTGTTTCTAGAAAATGTAACGTAGGATTTATTTTAAAAAAGAAATTGTTTTAAAAATACATATTTAAACAATTATATTATTACTAGCTGCGCTCCGCGGTGTTACCCGCTGATTTCCGGGATTTCCGAGATTTCCGGGATGTAAAGTAGCCTATGTGTTATTCCTGGACGTCAGCTTCCTGTATACAAAATTTTATCAAAATCGGTTCAACTGTTTGAGCGTGAAGAAGTAACAAACATACACACACTCACAAACTTTAGCAATTATAATATTAGTAAGATTACAGAAAGGATAAAGGATGATAAAATGATTTGTTACGACACAATTTAAAAATAAAAGGATTTTTTTTCATCAGTTAATATGTCAAAGTACATACAAGTTTTAAACATTAAACATTATTTATATACGGTATGCCTACTCCAAGTGAACGTCGATACTAAATACGCAGCGTCAACAGTTTTATATACATAAATCGAGACGAGAAAACGAGAAACGTGTAGTAAGTAGTATGAGAATGCAATTTGCTTAAGCTATAGCGACAGTTCGGCGAGAATCAAAGACTTGTGGTTATTGTAATAATTACTTCGAACCCTTAGTAATGATTGAGATAATGGGACAGAATATTTTTAGTCATGTTTTCCAATCTCGTTGTAAACCAGAATGACGACTGTGTAAGACAATAAGATTTCTCTTGTCAATGTCAAAGACGGGATGGATAATACAATAATGTAATTATTATCCAATTGTTAATTTATAATTATGTGTAGGTACTACACTTAAAATAGCATCATATCAAAAAAAATACATGTATGTAGTTTAACATCATTTGACAGTAAAATTATCTTTATGGTATTTTCAGGAAAAAAAAACGATAAGTTTAATAACATGACTAAAATAATTGATTAAAATTATTTATACGTATTTATCTGTCAAAAAATAAGGTTAAAAAATATATTTTTAAAGAAATATGGTAAAGGAAGGATAGCTATGAATCTCTTAATTTAATATCTGATTAGAAAATACATTGGATAGGTACTTATGCATGTTATTCTATAAAATAAATTGAACAAAAAAATATTGTTGAGATATGTTGTTGATACATATAGATTTATATAAAAAACTTTAAGAGAAATCTTTTACATATATGTACATATATACAGTTGGATAAAAATAAAACAGTATATACCATAACTATAAAATTATTACTTTCAAATATTATAAGAAATTAATATCACAAGTTTAATTCATTTGTTGAAATAATCTTGAAAAATTTATAAAAAAATAAACTATACAATTATTTATGAAATAGGTATATAAACTTGACCTAATTATGTAAGGTACCTTTCTTGTATATAAAACAAGGCTTGTTAACCTTAAAACATATCGAAAATAATTCGATGGTTACATATTACTTTTAAATAATTAATATATCATGAATTATACAATTATAATACTAGCTTTCCGCCCGCAGCTTCGCCCGCTTGGAGTTCGGTTATATCGCCTTTCAAAAGTCTGGGATAAAAACTATCCTATGTTCTTTCTCAAGGTCAACTCTATGTCTGTACCAAATTTCATTAAAATCAATTCAGCGGTTTAGGCGTGAAGGCGTAACAGACAGACAGAGTAACTTTCGCATTTATAATATTAGTAGGGAAAAAAACAATAAAATTGCTCTACTACCAAATTTATATATTTTTAATACGATACGATGTTATACTTGTATAGAGATTTTTGCTTCTTCTTCTACCTGGCAATTTCCCAGCTTTTAGCTAGGGTCTGCCTTACATGTTGTGAATAGTTTTGGCTAATTGTTTTTACGACTCCTGCCTGACATCAACCCTCTTTGGGAATGCATTAATGTATAGAGATTTTTGCTTCAGAGAGAAAATTTATATCATTGAATAAATGACAAGTACTTAAATAGTTCAGAATCTCTTTTTTATTATATTGTTGAAGTTTTATCTCCAAACTAAACATGCACTCATCTCGTCTTTATGATCACGGTTGCTGCAGAGTAACCGAAACGCAGATATATATAGATAAAATAACAAAAAAAAAGCGTAGTAAATCCGAAAAATATTAGTTGTATTACTGCAAATACTCACGAATGTTTAGATCTCATTGTAAACATGGATTCATATTTAAAAAAAACTACATATTCCAGTTACCTCAAATTTTATGAATAGTCAGATTGTCATATGTTTTAAGTAAGATTGCCGAATCTAAATATACATATGTACTAAAAAGTTGGACATTAATTAAATAACAGTGAAAGGGTAAATGCTTAATAAATAATTATGAACATTATTACGTTTTGTGTCAACGATACATATTTATAATGAATTATAATCACAATATGTCATTTGTTCCTGTTTGAGACGTCAATAAAAAAATTTTGACAGAAATTGTTTCATTGTATATATACTAGTTCTTGCCCGCGACTCCGTTAGCGTGAATGTATTGGGTTTAAAAACAATACATATAGCCTGCGTTGCTTATTAATTTAAATTACCTAAATAACAACTGCAGCGCTATCTGCAGGGCTGATTTGTGATTCCAAACCATTTGCTCGTCACCCGAATGCAACAAAAAAATGCATTCAAATGAATCAAGAATTTAGTTCAGTGACATATACACCTAAAGTAGAATTATAAACAGGGTGACTGGTGAATTACTATCGATACTTGAGGACGTGATATTTGACGGTCATATATGACAAAATAAAAATTAATATATTGGGTTGGCAACTAAGTCATTGCCGATTTCATATAAGAAGGCAAATTCGGAATTTTTGTTTAAAAATATAACTTTATTCAATTAGATATTGGTCATTCTTGTCGATGACCTTTTTCCATCGTTCTGGCAGAGTAAAAATTCCCCGTTTGTAAAATGTCTGGTTTTTGCTATTAAAAAACTAAATTAGGTGTGAGCCGACATCACCCGCGTTGTTAAAAATTTTACCATTTAAAGAGTTTTGCATGGAACGAAACAAATGGTAATCCGAAGGCGCAAGGACAGGGCTATATGGTGGGTGTGACAAAACATCCCAACCCAGTTCCAATAATTTTTGCCGAGTAACCAAAGATGTGTGGGGCCTTGCGTTATTATGATGGAAAACAACACCCTTCCGATTTGATAATGCCGGCCGCTTTTCTTCAATTGCATCCTTCAGTTTTTCGAGTTGTTCAACATACACATTTGAATTTATCGTTTGGTTCTGCGGCATGAGTTCAAAATACAAAATTCCTTTGTGACGCCACCAGACCGACAGCATAATCTTTTTTTGGTGAATCTCTGCTTTTGATACTGTTTGGGCTGGTTGATCTTGCTTCACCCATGATGTCTTGCGAGTAACATTGTTATAAACTATCCACTTTTCGTCGCCAGTAACTAGGTTCCTCAGAAATGGATCATTCTCATTGCGTTTCAGTAGCGAATCACAGATGCTAATCCGTTGTGTCAAATGAATTTCCTTTAACTGGTGAAAGATCCATAAATCAAGTTTCTTGACATAACGAAGGGTTTTTAATTTTTTTTTAATGCATGTATGCGACACACTGAGCTTCTCTGCAATATCTCGTGTTGTGCTGTGACGATTTGAATCGATAATGTCCTTGATACGGGTTTCATCCACTTCGACTGGGCGGCCAGATCGTTGTGATTTTTTCAGTGAAATATCATCAGAACGAAATCTTTCAAACCAATTTCGACACTGTCTTTCTTTTAAGGCTTTATCTCCATATACGGCACATAACTTCTTTTGTGCTTGCGATGCGTTCTTGCCTTTTCGGAAGTAATACAATAAAATGTGTCGGAAGTGCACGCCCTGTTCTTTCATTTTGAAATTGGGATAAAAACAAAAGTAAAGAACTAATCAAAACTTTTTTTTTTACTAATTAAACGTAGAAGTCCATACAGTAAGAAAAAATATAGGTTAGATGCTCTGGCCACGTTAACAAAACAAAAAAAAGTGTAGAGTGAATCTATCAACAAAAACGGCAATGACTTAGTTGCCAACCTATTAACATAAATATTAATAAACTTCTAAGTAAAGTTAACCAAAAGTTATGTAATTAATTACGCATCGTGTGAACACCCTACAGATTAGGTATACACTCACACACACATACGCGTGCGGCGGCGTAGTGTTGTATCAGCACGCCGCCGCACGCGTCCACACTTGGAACACTTGGAACGTGTCCACACTTTATTTATTTATACCGAAATTTGCTCAAAAATTAAGTACCTATTTTTTTTACATTATTCGAATCAGAATCATTTACCGAGTATTCTCCTTAAATATTGATAGTAATTCACCAGTCACCCTGTATATATATATATATATATATTTATGTGAAAGTTTCGTATCGCTTTATACGAAGTTTTTGTTTATATGATGCCAAGGCCCGATACTAATGTGGCATCAACGGTGGTCACCCTTAACTCCTTCACAAAGCTCAATGCCTCTTTTGTGAGGGTATCATCAGCTTATTAAAACATCTTCATGGACGGAGAAGAGGATATCAGAACACCCCGTCGTAGCTGATATTCGTTATTGGGCCCGAAGACGGAGCCTTGTGGAATCCCACAGCAGACGCTACTATGAAAGACTATATTTCGGGTACTACACTCTAGCTCTAACTACGTAACAAATATGATAATCATACATCTTAAATAGTACTCGTTAAAAATGAATATATGTATCAAAAAAGAAACATTTACTAAATAAACTTGCAACTATTCTAAATGTAATAGCACCGCTAATAATGACTTTAATAGAATTCATTGCTTGTATTATAATATTGTAAAACTAAAAATAATCAAGAATATATTTCATCTTTGAAATTATTAATAAAAATAAATCGTCACTGTTACGCCTTAAAGAGACCAAATCTTATCCACTAATTGCTTATATTTGCTATTACATTACATTCTAAGATACTTTACGGTACGATGAACAGGATTCGCAGATTTTTGCTGCCTTGGATATACTTATTGAGTGCTAGATGTATATTACGAATAATTTAATGGGATTCAATTAAAATTAGGTTTAGGATATTCTGCAATCATGTTCTTTATACTAGCCTGTATTAGCTATTTCAAGCCGATTTTCTGACACAGTGTCGTACAGATCTTGACTTCTAAGAATTGCAGAAAAGTTAATCGATTTCGTAATAGTGTTTATAGTATTAACAACAATAATATTTCTTTTGAATTACTAATTTAATAACATAAGTAAAATGTCTGTGTCCTCTATCAAGTTCTTAATAACAAATCAATACCAATATTATAAATGCGAAAGTAACTCTGTCTGTCTGTTACGCTTTTACGCCTAAACCACTGAACTGATTTTAATGAAATTTGGTAAAAAGATAGTTGACCTTGAGAAAGAACATAGGATAGTTTTTATCCCAGACTTTCGAAAGTTTTTCTTGGAAACGCGATATAACCGAACTCCACGCTGGCGAAGCTACGGGCGAAAAGCTAGTACTTTATATTTCATTAAGTGAATATGAGATTAACTTTTTAACCGAAAAACGAACCATTGTTTGGCCAAAATAAAAGACTGTTCAAAACAATTGGAATAAATTATCATACACAGGGTGACTGGTGAATTACTATCGATACTTGAGGACGTGATATTTGACGATCATATGTGACAAAATAAAAATTAATATAACATAAATATGTATTAATAAACTTCTAAGTAAAGTTAACCAAAAGTTATGTAATTAATTACGCATCGTGTGAACACCCTACAGATTAGGTATACACACACACTCACACATACGCGTACGGCGGCGTGGTGTTGTATCAGCACGCCGCCGCACGCGTCCACACTTGGAACACTTGGAACGTGTCCACACTTTATTTATTTATACGGAAATTTGGTCAAAAATTAAGTACCTATTGTTTTTACATAATTCGAATGAGAATCATGTACCGAGTATTCTCCTTAAATATTGATAGTAATTCACCAGTCACCTTGTATATTCTAAGGTAAAGGTTTGCTAATTTTATTATGACGTTAAATGTCTAGACTATTGTTAATTAATATGAACTTTTAATAATACTATAACAGAGACGTATCTGTACATGAAGAAAAATAACTAGGTATACCTATTTTCACACGTTAAGAACCTACTTATTGATAAAAATTTCAAATGACTGATGCGTTTTATTATAGTTTTTAATATAATAAAGTACAATATCTTTATACCTAACTTATGTTTATCTTGTACGCTCTAAACGGCAAAAAGAGTTAATAATAAAAGCAATTTATTTACATTGACGAAACTATTATTAGTATTAGGCAAATAGAAAAATTGTTGTTTTGTTGTCGTGGTTTCTTACATGAGTGTTTCTTGCTTGTATGAATGTCTATCCTTAGTTTGAAAGAAAAATCTTCATAATACATATATTATGTTGAATTCCTATTATTTTACAGTAATGGTAACAAAACTAAATGCCGACAGAATGTCTGAAAGTCACTAAATCGGGACTATAAAAATTGTTCCAGATAATAAATGATTTCCATCTTTTTTGTCGTACCATCAGAAAACAACGCAAACGCCTGTTAAAATTGTGGAGCAACTTAGCATATGGAGGTTACGGAACGATTTAGATGTAAGGCGCTTCGTTTATGTTAATTTTTTACCTACCCTGTCATAAAAATATGTAACACAATAAAATTATCATTACAACTAATCTACGCCTTTTTAATATCTCCTAGTTAAATACTATCGAAATTCGCAACAGACTTTTTAGATATTTGAAGTGCCATCTATACGTAAATATTAAAAACTTACATTTGAAATATTCATGGAATATAGTTTCTAAGTATAACATATAGATGTCGCTGTTTGCAACTCGGAATTAAGTTGCATCTGATTGATAATAATTTGCATTCGAAGTGAACTTGTTACATCGAATAATTTCGATCAAGTTTCGCTATATTCTAAACTTGAAAGAATTACCTATAATTAAATCTATATATACTAAATGTTATTAATTTTGTCAAGAAAGAAGGGTTAAATGAACCATATAACAAATTATTATGATTGACATTTGACTTGATCGAAAATTATGGTGCTTGTTCAGCCATATTGATGAGTGATGACTAATCATGAAGAGATTCATATTTTTAAAGTCACTTTTAATAAATTTAATAAAAGGTATATACATAAAACTCATTCGATCTTATCTATGACTGATGAAATTTCTCCCAAGTACTTAAGAATTACTAAGTAAAGTCTGATAATCGATTTCTGAAAAATGAAAAGTAAGAAACATGTAATTAAAAATAAGTTTATTGAAACCACTTTTTGCTTTACATCTTTATTATTTTAAGTACATCATGAGTTATTTCTTATACAAACAACATTATATATCTTGATTTTTACATTACAAAAATATAAAAAAATATTCGAGCGATAAAAATTATACTTAATCTGTGGTCAAACTGTCAAAACCTCCGCCACTGTCGCAACCCCCACTGTCAAAACCGCCGCCGGTGTCACAACCCCCACTGTCAAAACCCCCGCCATTATCGCAGCTCCCAAAATTACTACCATTTATATCGCAACCCCCTACATTGGTATCAACATGGCCGAAACTATCATTACCACCACTGTCAAAAATAGAAGAATTATTGACATTTACATAATCGCTACTGTTGATCCAGCCACCGGTTGGAGTGTAATCAAATTTGTAACCACTTCCTTTATCAAACTTCTCGCAACCACAGCAGCATATGAAACAATCGTAGAAGAAACTTTTGCAACCAAGATCAAGTTCCTCATCTGTATTCATTGCGCTCGTTTCCGTTGATTTGGCAATCCCTTTATTTGACTCCTTTTTTTTCGGTTCTTCCACCATTACCTCCGACATGGTCACTATGAATCTATTTTATGCAGCTCATTGATATAAATAATGTTATTTCCCTAATCTACACTACACAATGCAATTATACGTCAACTTCATTATTGTGTATCAATATGAACGAACTTCATGCATTACGCTAAACTTAAATCGACCTTGTATAAAGCACACACTAATACACTTCAAATCAAACTCAGTTTCCTGTTTAGATATTTTCCTGTTACAATGTATTGTATACAATTAAATAGTAATATTGATTGAAATATTTGAATCGACATATATATTAAGAAAGTAATGGTATTGGGGCGACTTATTTATAGAGAACTAATTTTGAATAAACGTTCTATAAGATTAAAAAACCAATGTACATACATTCAACAAATATGTTAAGTTCGTAAGCCGTTTTTGTGTCTTCAAGGTTATAGTCCAAATCATATTTCAAAGTCATCATTATTTTTTTACCCCAAGTTTGAATCCTCATACTACATACGTAACGTCAACAGTTTTCCATTCATAAATCTTCGCAAATAGTACGTATTAACGTGTGTTATTACTTATTTAATGAGAAACTGACAACGCCTCGTATTTAGTATGACAGCGCCATATCCCTACTAATATTATAAATACGAAAGTAACTCTGTTTGTCTGACTGTCTGTTACGCTGTCACGCCTAAACCACTGAACTGATTTTAATGAAATTTGGTACAGACATAGAGTTGACCTCGAGAAAGAACATAGGATAGGTCTGAAACTTTATCATAGCGAGCGTCGTCACATATACGAAGGACGTCAAGATAAATGAGTTAAAAACAAATACTCCGCGCATAGTCTGGCAAATTGTAGGTATCAACTACATTATGTACGAAACCATATACTAGCAGCTAGTATAACAATACTATTAAACGTCAAAATATTCCTCATATTTAATAGCATATACCTATATAAAGTTAGGTGATAATTAGAAACCTGAGTTTTTACTTATAAAAGTCTATAATAATGCGTCGCTGGTCAAGTTCAGTGTTACATTTATGTATATTTATAATATTAGAACAGTTTCAATTTAGCAGAACATAAATTTGTACTAAAATAACACTATTGCTATTTTAATGAATAATTATGTTTACTCCATTTTTGTCAGAATTTAATATGATTGAAATTTCGTACTTTCTTTTAAAGTTTAAATAGCAAATTATGTCATAGATTATATTGAAATAAGATAAATAAAACATTACTTTTGTCCTCGGCACTATATATGAAACACTTTAATTTGTTATTATTATAATTAATAATTATTTATGGGACCATATTTATTTTTAAGGTTTCAGTTCTTTCAGAGAAAAATAATATTAAATATAAATGATAGCAACACTTGAAGTATTACGGAGTTTCTTCAATATTTTCAGACTTCTCTTCTGCGGACGATTTTTTTTCTTCAATACTAGAATTATCTGTCTTTTCTTCATCTTTATTACCTTCAGAATCATTCACAGATACTATATTCGATAATTCTTGACCTCCTCCATTTGTTTCGGGTATCTCACGCAGCCTGGAGTTTTTAATTGAACTTCTGCTTTCACTCACGCTATAATCTGAGCCACCACAGATATCACAACAGCATTCTTTATTACACTTACAAGTGCGAATGGATTCTATCATATTTTCGAAGCAGAGCACAGTCGAACTCACCAAATTAGAGCAAAGCCATGACGAACAACGGCAGATATTAACTAAATAATCATAGCAGGTTTTTTCTTCGAACGTCTCATTATAAAACACATTATCCGGATTTCTATTAAGTTCTCCATGTTTCTCCACATTCTCTTCTTTGTTGTCTACTGGATCTTCTTTTATTAAATCTTCTTCACTCTTCCCCGCCGAATAATGGAAAGATAGGCGTTTGGGTTCAAAGGTTATAGGATCCGACATGTCACCAGCAAATACTTTGTATACTAATCAAATTCAAGGAAAATATGCTAATTGTGATTAAAATAAATAAGGAAAATTATTAATTTTCTGTGTTAATAGCTTAAAAGACTCTAATGATATACATATTTGTTTTAATGAATTTTTAGGTAAGATTTAGAATGTTATTCTATTCATTTTATGTTAATGGATTGAGGAATAAAATGTTTCAGAACGAATGCTTTTCGCTAATTTTATACCCGGACGTCACCTATACGTGTAACAAAACAAATAATATATTTTTAAGGTGTTGTCTCCACACGGAACTCAAGATTAAAACTTGCCCATCAAATAAAAACATTGACATTGCCATATTCCACGATTCCAGTGCGAATGAAGCCTTAGCAAAGCGTTACCATACAAAAAGCATAGGGTTCAATATTTTATGATAAATAAACAATCTGATTTAACTTTTTTTAAATATTTATTCGGACAGTTTTATTTACTTCTTCTACCTAGCAATTTCCCAGCTCTAACCAGGGTCTGCCTTACATGTTGTGAATAGTTTTGGCTAATTGTTTTACGACCGGCCGCCTGCCTGACATCAACCCTCTTTGGGAATGCATTAATCAGTGATGTCTAAATACTCTAAGAAAGTACATATGACTCGGAAACATCACAATGGTACTTGCCCGGGCCAGGATCGAACCCGCGCCCTCGTGCATGAGAGGCGGGCCTTTTAACCACTAGGCCACCACTGACTAGGACATTTTTATTTACTATAGTAACGAAATAGTTTTTGTTAATAAATGCCGAAGCAGATGACACATGTCATTCCGGCGTCGGGACGTGACGACCCCATCGCCCACCGGTGTATTCCGGTGCAATTAGCCACGGGGGGGAAGGGCCTTGACCTCCTCGTGGGGTCTTGGCCCGGGCTGGGGGTGCAGCCCATGGAGGTGGGTAGGACGAGGCTCGGCGGTGTACACCGCCGCTGCCAAGTTCGGCCCTACGTGTTGGCGGGTGGCCTCGGCCACTGTCGGCGCAGTCCGGCGTCGGGACGTGACGACCCCATCGCCCACTGGTGTATTCCGGTGCAATCAGTCACGGGGGGGAGGGCTGGGGGTACAGCCCTGGGAGTAAGACGGTCACGGATCTGGCAGGAGGCCGTCTGTGGCTGTCTTGGGGGGGAGGGGATACTCGGGTCTCTCCGGAGGCCTGAGTTCGCTTGTGGTCGGTCGGTTTCCTCTCTGTCTGCCGTCGGGCGCTTGCGCTCGTCGGTGGGTGGTTGGAGACTGGCCGCGTGGGCTTGGGTGGGAGGGGTAAGGGGTTAACCCTCTCGCGATTAAGCAAGCCCGCCAGGCGGGGGGACACTCCTGGTCACTTGGAGTGAGCCCTCGGGGGGGGAGGTGGCCGTTCGCGGCCCGCCGCCGGATCGTCGCGGATGCATGCTTCGGCGTTTCCCGTGGCGATCCACTTGGCGGCAACGGAGAGTGACCGCTGGTGTTTTAGTGGGTAACATGGGCCCTTCTGGCCGTGAATCCCACATAACCGCCTCTGTCTCCCCTAGACGGAGGGGTAGGTATAAAACCTTTCACCGCGATAACAAAAAAAAAAAAAGATGACAGATGTCATAGCGGTTACGGTAAAGTTATAGAAAAACGAACTCTGTTTTTAAAAATATATGTTTTTAAATTCCATAATATATTTAGGTAGAATATTAATTTTTGTAGGAAAATCTCATTTTCTTACAACAGCTTCCTAAAAAACACAATTCTTTTAATTATTTCTATAGTTTGTCACAAGTTTTATCGTCGTTAATGTTTCCAATTTTGATCTGAATTATTTTTATTCGAGAATATAGGATAATTGTGCGGGATAGCTTTAGATTTAATATAAGTTACATGTAACGACTACAATGTCAGTGGTGGCCTAGTGGTTAAAAGGCCTGCCTCTCATGTACGAGGCCGCGGGTTCGATCCTTGAAATTTCCCAGCTTTAGCCACGGTCTGCCTTACATGTTGTGAATCGTTTTGGCTAATTGTTTATACGACCGGCCGCCTGCTTGACATCAACCCTCTTTGGAAATGCATTAGTCAGTGATGTTTAAATACTCTTAGAAAGTAAATATGACTCGGAAAAATCACATTGGTACTTGCCAGGATCGAACCCGCGCCCTCATGCATGAGAGGTAGGCTTTTTAACCACTAGGCTACCACTGACTAAAATGATATCATATTCATAAGTAACAAATATGCATGAAGAAATATAAAATTCCGTATTAAAAACAATAAGATTGCTAAATGTATTGATATGTTGTAACGCTTCTCATATAATTAAAAAATATATTAAAAGAAATTATAAAAATATATATCATTTATGGTAGTAGCATATTATAGCAGTTAATTCGCACAACACATTGAGATTGAACAGCATATCAGCCATGACAAGAATTTCTCTATTTGGTCTTTATGTGATTGCCACAACGCGTCGTTTGTGATTTCATTAGAGCTATAATACCAATTTTGCAGTACGGAATATTTACTGTGACCAGAACATGTTTTGAGCTATTTTTCCACTTACTGAGCGTTTTCGATAGTGTAACATATATATTAAAGCAAAATATTTTAATTCCAAGCATTAAAGAGATCTTACAAACATAATATAAATTATGATGTAACATAGTCAGTATTTTTTCATATATATAAACATACAATTAGAAAATTTTAAAACACAAATAAATAGTTCACAGATAATAAAAGAAGTGCAATTAATTAACTATATTATATTAAATAAAAAACAAAAATTGAGAATAATGCATATATAACTTAAATGTAACCTGATATGATTATGATAAATTAAAAAAAATGTAATATGGACCTAAAATTTTAATATTTCCAATCTATGCAGATACAATGACATATAAATATACATATTTTTGATCACAATTCTTCATTGGCAGTCTTCTAAGCTGTAAGGCGTAAGCTTTATTCCGTGAACATAAGGCTTATTATTGTATATCATTCTTTGCGCTTGGACACACTGTCTTCTGCCTTCCGTTTGCTACCAGCTAGTTGTGTTATCCTATCAGGCTTATATTTCTCCCATTTCTTATGGTTCAAGGTGTCAAAATCTTCGCAGTACTGCGCTATATCTCTTAAATATGTAGTAAGATGTAATAATTCTCTGTCTTTGTCCCGGTTCAAATGAGCTTGTCTGAATGGACGTATCTTAAGACCGCTTTTAGGGTTCATGATGAAGTTTCTTCGTATGTCATCAAACATTATAGTGTTTTTGGAGCTGTATTGGGGATATTTACCCCATATGACGCCGAGAGGTTTGACCTGGAAACGAATTATTACTTCATTGAAAAATTTAATATCATTTACTGTGGTTTGTTGAAGAGATAAGTAGCTTTATAATAATACAATGTCAATGTAACTAAAAATACACAAGTAAGTTCGACTACTTCATACAAACTCATCCGGCAAACGTTGTTTTGCCATATCAAAAGTAGGGGCTGGGATACAAAAGTAAAAATTATAAAAAAAAAACATAAATTTCGTCCAAAAATTAAAAAAAATATGTAGGGGTGAACAACCCTTATAACTAAGAGGTATGATAAATAGATGTTGGCCGATTGTCAGACCTACACAGTATTTCATGAGAAACGGTCAAGCCGTTTCGGAGGAGTTCTCTGTCTAACACCTCGACACGAGATTTTTATATATACAGGGTGACTGGTGAATTACTATCGATATTTGAGGACGTGATATTTGACGATCATATATGACAAAATAAAAATTAATATAACATAAATATTAATAAACTTCTAAGTAAAGTTAACCAAAAGTTATGTAATTAATTACGCATCGTGTGAACACCCTACAGATTAGGTATACACACACACACACACACTCGCGCGCGGCGGCGTGTTGTTGTATCAGCACGCGGCCGCACGCGTCCACACTTGGAACACTTGGAACGTGTCAACACTTTATTTATTTATACGGAAATTTGGTCAAAAATTAAGTACCTATTTTTTTTACATAATTCGAATGAGAATCATGTACTGAGTATGCTCCTTAAATATTGATAGTAATTCACCAGTCACCCTGTATATATAAAAATCTCTGTCGAGGTGTTAGACAGAGAACTCCTCCGAAACGGCTTGACCGTTTCTCATGAAATACTGTGTAGGTCTGACAATCGGCCAACATCTATTTATCATACCTCTTAGTATATATATATATATATAGACTTTTAAAATGTCACTGAAAAGGATAGATAGTTCTAATGAGATCTATCTTTGAAATTCGGCACTCAAAGCCCTCGCTAGGAAGTGTGTTTGACTCGGTTAAGGGTTCTTCTAAGAAACCAGACCTAGGCTTAGGATGTTTTTGAAATTGATATGATATTTTAGATTTAGTGCCAAGAAGACATTCATTTTGTAATTTACATTTATTAACATGTTTATAAATAATGAATCTAATAAGCTCCTAATAGTGGTAATCGGATGAAATTATTATTAAAATTGGATGAAGTTATCAAAAAAAATATCAAAATAGGTACATTGTTTTATGAGTATTAATAACATGCTTTTACTCCTAACATAAAATTTTCATGCATATATACACAAACCCACAAACATACAAATACACACTTGATTCTATACATATAATATATAAAAGAACTTTCTTTTATATATATAGAAAAGGTATTAGTTACACTATATTTTATAACTGAAGAATTGCTATAGGGATATGGCTGAAAATTTGTGGGGAGATAGCTTAATACCAGGAAATGGACAAAGGATATTTAATTCTGTTCAATCGAAAAAAAAAAACTTAATAAATTCCAATATCTGGTTATTTATGGCCTCTAGGACGGAATACAATTCGACCCGTCAGCTATATACAGGGTGACTGGTGAATTACTATCGATACTCAAGGACGTGATATTTGACGATCATATATGACAAAATAAAAATTAATATAACATAAATATTAATAAACTTCTAAGTAAAGTTAACCAAAAGTTATGTAATTAATTACGCATCGTGTGAACACCCTACAGATTAGGTATCCACACACACACACACACACACACACGCGCGTGCGGCGGCGTGGTTTTGTATCAGCACGCCGCCGCACGCGTCCACACTCGGAACACTTGGAACGTGTCCACACTTTATTTATTTATACGGAAATTTGGTCAAAAATTAAGTACCTATTTTTTTTACATAATTGAAATGAGAATCATGTACCGAGTATTCTCCTTAAATATTGATTGTAATTCACCAGTCACCCTGTATATAGCACTAATTAGGAAATTAACGCGTATGATGTCACGGGCAAAACCTAGTATAATAATAAAATATACATACATCTATAGTCCCATACTTGGTCGTATGGACTGTAATCATAGCTAGATAGTCCAAATAGAACATAATCTTATAGTCCTGGTGTGTGGATACTCCGAGTAATCTCATCTTCTCCTCAATCCACTTCATGCCGGTGGCCGACCAGATCACTATATCATAATGTGTGTACGAAGACGTTAGAAACTCATGAAGGAAGGGACGCATTAACTCGTAACCTGAAATTGATATTAGTTTACAATCAATATTAAGTAAAATTAATAACACATATAAAAACATTTTCTCATTAAAAAAATATTGCAAGTATTATATTATATTCCCCGATAAATAGAATATGTGGCCAGTATATTGATCTGTGTGCATTAACACAAAATATTGATGTTTTTTCCGTTTCCTTGCCGAAGTTTAAGCGTAAAATTTGTGATGTTTTGTCAAGTTCTGTTATTAAAATTTAGCTGTAGTAGTTTACTTTGATTATTATGTGATATTCTTTTTTTCTTTTGTTATCTTTATTTTTTTGTAATAAATAAGTATTATTATTAAGCAGCTAGACAGTAATCTACAGCAGTGCTGTGTACGTCTGTAATTGGTACATACATCAGATAAGTGTCAGTTTTAAATGTTTAGTTTCAAGTGTTTAATGTATGTACTGTTGATGTGCCATTCAAATAAATAAATTATCCCTACTTATATTATAAATGCCAAAGTAACTCTGTCTGTCTGTTAGGCTTTCATGCCTAAATCACTGAACTGATTTTAATGAAATTTTGGTACATATGGTATAGGGTTGAACTTGAGAAAGAACATAGGGTAGTTTTTATTCCAGACTTTTGAAAAGTTCTCTTGGAAACGCGACATAACCGAACTCCACGCGGGCGAAGCTGCGGGCGGAAAGCTAGTATAATATATCCTTAATTTATAAAGACGGAGAGAAAATCTATATAACACTTTAGCATTGATTTTGGTTTGAAGTAAAAAATATAAGTTTTATATAAAATAGAATGTGTAAATTTTTAGATATATATTCAAAAATATAAATTTCTCATTATATAATTTTTAAATAACTGTTAATTATATAAGTCAGTTAAGATTTACTTATATGTTAAACAAATAAACTATAGGAATAAAGAAATATTGCATACTTAATACCATGAAGACAATTGAAAATTCTTATATATATGTTTATGTATGTATATTGCTTTTGTATATAACCTTTCCTTTCATGATTTTTTATTCGTAAAATAAACTATGATCCTCACCAGTCTCTGCCACAGATCTGTGATCAAACAGTGTGTAATCTATATCTAAAACTAATAATTTCTTGCCAGGTCGCGGTTCATTCAGAACATTAATCTTGTAATCCCTTATTCGTTTATTTATTTTAGCTAGGTAAATCTGAAATGATAACAAAATTAATTTAATTTAATTTCTTGTTTCATAAATTTAATGATATGTATTAATTATGTTATAGTAAAGTGGAGCTTATATATAAGTATCAATGGTCCAGATTTTAATTGTTGTTAGAAATTTTCATATACCTACATTGTAAATCATATATTTTTTGCATATAACTTTTATCTATACAGTGGACCCCCGGTAATCCGGCCCCTGTCTAATCCGGAACCCCCTGTAATCCGACATGCTCTTTTATTTATTATTGAATACATATTTTGTATTCGCTAATGCATGATTGAACAAGTAACAACTTCTACGCACCATCACTATTGTGCTCGACGCGTAGGAATTTGTACTTCAGAGTACATATAAGTACATATATATATATAATATGTAAATAATCTTATCATTGAATTTGTAATTTTTCGGATTACAAGGTACTCTTTTGTAAAAAAAATACGGACTATGGGGGTCTTAGACAGTACTCTACAATCCGACGAATTCGATAGTTCGACACTGCCCTGCAAAATGTTTGTTGGACTACCGGGCGTCCACTGTACTGTAAAACTAGAAAACATTGTATCTAAATAATTACACCTGAGTCCAAATAAGATGTTAAACATGAAGAATGCTTTATTCATTTGATTATTTTAATTGGTGAAATAATTGAAGTATAATAAATATTTTGGGATGTAATAAGTTCAAATATTATAGTGTAGATGGTTTTTACAATGTATATTGATAAAATTATATAGATGTCATGGACTAAATAATTAGTCAGGTATTATTTATAATGCCCCAATGAATAATTCCCAATAAGTAACCAATGTGATGATCACATTGCCTGGGCATTATGAATAGCTCCCAGTGCAATGTAGGGAAAATGATGTAAGGCAATCTTAAAACTTTCAATTGAATACTTAGATAGACTAAGCATAACAAGTAATGAAATCAATTATCTGATATAATTAACCTAATCTGTGATTAATAGGTAAAAATTTATGTATTAATCACATTACCCAATCATCATGTAGCCATATTTGTAATGCCCCGTGCATTACAAATAATAAATAGCTGAGTTTTGATTGTAATCAATCACTTGGCCTGATTTATCTGGGTATTATTCATAATGCCTTCATTTCACTTGGCCCACAACATATATTTTATTCAGATAGTATTTAAATACCTCTTGGTTTTCAACATCCACTTCTTCTTCCTCAATATCAAGATCATTTACTACATCGTCACCAACATCTGGTTTGGTTCTAGCACCTTCTATGGCTTCTTCAAGGGAACCCACCATCATAATCTTCAAATTTGGTTTGAGGTTTAAATCGGACAGTGTACAATTATCGGTCGCGACTTTACCTGTAATTTGTGAATCAGTGGATATCAATTTTAGAGTTCCGATTTTAGTGGTAATTTTAATAAAGATTAATGTTTATTGCATATAAAAGATGAAGACAATAGATCCTTAGCATCTTAAGACGTATAATTGCAATAAAATTTGACTTTACTGTTTTATACACCGTTATGTTAGTGTATTTGTTTGAGGTTAAACACCTTAGTTAATTCAATTTGTTTTGATATGGAGAAAAATTAGTAAAATATATATTTTAGTGAGCTACTATTTGCTCATAAAATCAAAACTCACCCTGGAATTTAACATTGAGAAGTTTTTGTCTTTCCGGGCGCACGCCAGTTGCATTTTCGATGGCAATTTTTAACATTGCCACAGAATCCGAAGGTGATAATTCTGGTATTTCATACTCCTTTCCATTCCATTTTACACTTAATTTAATTGGATTATCGTTAATATCACACATTATTTCATTAAAAATACTGCAATAAACGCATGAACTGTTCGTCAATATGACGGCTTTGTGTCACATAAACAAAACAATTTTTGATTATGACAGTTACTGTTAGGGAATGCCAGACAGTTGTTGATGATATTTTGTTGCAAAAACCGGTATTAACCGGTATTAGCCATGGCTCCTTTTATAAATATTTTTTTATTACCAGTTTTATTTAGAATAAATAGTATTATCTGCATTAAACTGAATAGGAATGAATTTGTTATGCACTTGAACTTACAATAATATATATATATTAAAACATTTAATATATACTTTTCATTCAAAAGTATTATGCATCATAGAAATATATTCAAATTTAATTGAAAAAAAAATAAAGCCAAAATTAATACTTTTTATTAAACAAAATATCATGATTTTGTTAAATAATTAATATAAATCAGTGTCAAACTTTTCTTTTTCTTGACTATCTTTTCTTTCTTCTACATATTTCTCAGGTTCAAAATTCGGATCCAAAGTTCTAGATCTTATAATCTCTTTATATATAAAAGCTGATTTCCTGGGAGTTCTTGTACGATCTGGTGTCGAGAAGTCAACTTCGTATAGCCCAAATTTTTCTCTAAAACAAAAATTTATGCCATATAATTTACACATATTCAAAGAATTAAATGATATAATAATGTTTTAAATTTCTATATAAATTTGAACCACTCTATTAAATAGCTTTTAATGATTAAATTCATCAAACATTTAAAAATTGCGAAAAAGTTTTAAATAAAATGTTGCATAGTGTAAAAAAACTGATATTTAAAATATAAAGAATAGAATTATTATTACAAAAGTAACTTACGTGTATCCGTTTAACCATTCAAAGTTATCTATCAAACTCCATACTGTATATGCTTTTATATTGCATCCATCGTCTAAAGCGTTTAGTAATGCGTTGAGATAATTCCTCAAGAATTGTATCCGATCTTCATCGAGTAGACCACCGGCACTTGACCAGCCGTTTTCTGTTATATAAACCGGTGGATTGTCGTATAATTTATTAACCTCTTTCAGTAATTTTTGAAATCCCCAGGGAACTTCCTACAAATATGTATAAAAAATGAGACTTAATGTACACAGATAATATATTTTATAAAAGTGAATTTTGTGAATTGCTTTTATGATTTGAAGAGTTCGAAGTTTCAAAATAATTTCTATATCATCAATCTTATATTAGAATATGTAGATTCAGTATTAAAGTAGGAACAAAATACAAAAACAAACATTGTAGATTATTAAAAATTACGCAGCAGATTATACAAAAGGGATGTAGAAATATGAAAAGAACTTGGTGTAGAATTCTATTCTTTCCCAGTATCGTGGCCCAGAATATTCCCCAGGAGAAGAATATTTTAATATTCCCCCTGTGTAATATTTTCTGTAATATTCACCTGTAGCCACGAAGACTGCGCCTGCGGCCAAGTTGGATCCTTGACGAGAACGGAACCCATGTCATCTCTGTACGACGGAACCGGGAACATTCCGTCAACAGATGCGTCCCTATACGCCATTTTCGTCGTATAAGTGTTCATTCCAAAGAAATCAGACGTTCCTCGAATAAATGCAACTTCAGAAGCTGATAGTTCCGGGAGACGTGAACTTGAATAACCTTGTTCCGCACTCTTCGCTGCCACGTTGTGTTTTAATTCATGTGGAAAGTCCCCTTCTTTTGAGAATATCGGATGAGCGTATTGACCCCACTACAATGAGAGAAAACATTTAAATGAAACTCATATTTTTCGGATATACTACTCGACTTCATTTTTGTAAAAAACTACATACTCCCCACATAAACACACACGTACTCATTTAAATGAATAAAACCAGCGAAAATCTTAGATCTCACTAAAAATTAAAACAACCGGGATATAATCATTATAAGTCAATATAAAATCACAGATAAAATATACAAAAATAAGTGTAAACAAATTACTTTTCCACATAAAAATAGATTCAGTCTTTTTAAATATCCATGTGTTATTCTATAATTAACTATTTACAATCTACGTTAGAGTGGGAATATAAAACGTATAATGCAAAAAATATATATTGTTTTCAAACTTACATCGAATTGCCTCGCGTCTAGAGCAGCTTGGTGGTCATCTATTGTGTCAGAAGCTGGTTCATACCAGGTACAGCTGATAGATATTCCAATCTTACCGTTCTGCTTCTTCCTATACTCCTCATCATATATGCGATAAACTTTAGCATGGGCCAACAGAACGTTCTTAGCGCACATATATTCTGCTATGCCAGTCATATTAACGAGTGGAGCCTTCAAATCAGATCCATATCCTTCATAGCATATTTGTTTCGGCTCGTTAATTGTTATCCAAAATTTGACTCTGTCCCCGAAATTATCAAAAAGGACTTTGGCATAGTCAGCAAATGCGTCAATTATATACGGGTTGGTCCAGCCACCCAACTTCTGTAATTCCTGTGGTAAATCCCAGTGATAGATTGTCAAGAAGGGTGCAATGTTATTGTGGATTAATTCGTTTATTAAATTATTGTAATAATTGATGCCAGCTTGATTGATGTAATTAGAGAAACCCTGGGGAAGTATTCTGGGCCACGATACGGAGAAACGATAGAAATCTACACCAAGTTCTTTCAATATTTCAACATCCCTTTTGTATAAGTGGTAGGAATCTGCTGCAATATTACCATCGCTTCCATCACGAATGGGTGAACTTTCCATATGAGTAGCTACGTCCCAAATAGATATACCTTTGCCTGGAAGTATTAAGTGATTTATAGTACATTTAGTGATATTTTTTATGTTAACTTTTTGGGGTAAGACCTAATTTACCCACCATCTTCATTCCAACCACCTTCAATTTGATAAGCAGCCGTCGATGCACCAAATTGGAATCCCTTAGGGAATTTTCTTATAGACCTCTTAGATAATACACAGTCATTTATCATAAATAGTAGGAAGCTAAAAAAATAAAAAATGAATTGATCTTTAAAATTATCTAATCTAATACTCCTCACGATAAAATATTAACAAGATGCTCTCAATAGTTGACAAAAATAAGTAACATTTTTTTGTATTAATTTAATTTTTTTCTTATGTTCAAATAATTAAAAAACATTTATTTAAAAAATTTATATTAACTGTATGCAAAAATAAAAATTGTCTAATATAACGAAATATTTAAACTATATTTTTTAAAACATTTTAGTTTATCTTTACTCTTATTAATTACATAATATATGTAAAAAAATCGTGTAATAAAGAAAGATTACTATAATATTCAATATAATAAATAATTTTCTTACCAGCAAGCTAGAAAACGCGTCATTGCACCGGCGATACTAACGCTATATTTTGTTTTATATTCCGATTAGATGAGACAAGAGTAATTCTACAGTTGATAAACACCCATTCGTAATATACGTACAAAACTATCTATGACTCGCGACTTTGCTTGCAAGCTGGCCATTTATATGAAAAAAAAATTGTATACAGCTCTTAAAATCATATTGTTGTTTAAAAAGTTCCAAGAATATACTTTTTTTGGGATATAACCTTTATATTAAGGCGTGTCTTCTTTTACGATTATAATAATAAGAACGTCTAAACATAGTTCAGTAAACTTTTATATAAAAGGCAATAAAAAGAAAGAATAAAAAATAATAGTAAATCATTGAACACAAATTTTTCCTTTACAGATTCTTGTAATACGACCACCAATAAATATTTATATACCAAACGAACATCCGGAATGACTCGTTCTAATAATAAGCAGAAAAAATGCGACAATTAAAAGTAATTAAATTGTCGAATCACCCTCCTAGATTGATTTGACTGAGATCATATTACATATAAAACCGTGTCAGTGTTGATAAATAATTATAATGTTTTTACAACAATGTATCATTCATACAGCCAATGTGTTTAAAAGAGGCCGTATTTAAGGTTACTAAACTCAATCACTATCTTCAATATTCTTTTCAAACGATTCTTTTATAACCATATATTTAAAGCCAAAAAGATATGAAAAAATATCAGTAAGAAAAACGTTTAATAAACGCAACAAACAAAAAATAAAACTATCTCAATATTTTCCATATTTATTTTGATATCACAATTGCCATCCAGATGAGAGAAAATTAGAAATAGATAAAACGAAAACAAAAACAAAATTACATAATAAAAATAAATTCAATCACATTTCTTTGGCCTTATTAGGTTTCCATTCAAAACTGCAAAATTAGAAAAAAAAATATTATGCTTATAATATATAGGAAACGGTAATTTAATAATATTAACGGTTTTTTTGTACCTATTAAATGGTTGACATAACTTCAGCGTTCGAAACTCGATTCATTTGATCTTGCTCTTCCGATTTTCGGTTTAAATGACAGCGAACCTCTTTTGTCTAATCTTTTAGGTTTACCTATAATAATAAAATGATAACGTTACTGACTAAATAAATTTAAAATTATACGATAGTTGTTTATACATTAAGTAAAAGGGTGATATAAACTCTATAAACATAAAATTTGTCAAAAACAACTATTTAACAAATTAGGATTCTATGATAAAAATCAATAGAAATAAAATAAGTTTACCACAAGCACTTTCGACTAAACAATGTTTTTGTTTTTGGGACAATATCCAAGGGATTGGAATTAAACTTTCTGGCAATTCTAAGCTAATTGTCTACTTTTCACTTTATAACAGACACTGGCAATATTACAATGTTACAAAATTTAAACCTGTAAATTACCTTTACTTTTTATATTTCCTTTTCTTAGCGTCATAATACTGTCCTTTGATGAGATACTTTTGCCGCATTTCTTAGCCTGTTAAAGAAATAAATAATATTATAGTCATATGAATAACACAAAACAAATATTATAAATGCAACAAACCTTAAGAAATATTGCGGGAAATACGCGAGGCGAATAGATTTTTGACGAGAATAGTTCATTGTAGTATCTCTGAGACT